GCCTTCAACCCTCGTGCCGAGAGCTCAGCGACACGAAAGGAAGGTCGAGATACTCTTTCGCCCTTGGCCGTGCCAAAAAGAGAAAAAAAGCAGAAGAAGAAGAAGAAGAAGAAGAAAAAGAAGAAGAAGAAGAAGTAGAAGAAGAAGAAGAAGAAGAAGAAATAGAAAAAGAAGCCAAAAAAGATCAGGATTTCGACGCGAGTCTCTCTCGTTCTCTCTCTCGTTCGAGATTACGATATACATATGTTGGGATCCTTTGTATTCTCCCTTCCTTCATTCTTTCTTTCATTCTTTCATTTTGATCCATTTTCTTTTATCTTGCATATGCTCTTTATTACATATCAATCAATAATAATTACGTGCATAATACGAAAATGATAAAAAGAAGAAAAGAAGAAAAAAAAAACAAAAGAAGAGGAAAAAGAGTAAGAAAAGTAATAAAAAAGTAAACGGTGTTAGGAGGGGTTGCAAAAGAAATTATTATAAAAGAAAGAGAAAAACGAACGAACGAACGAACGAATGGATACGAGCAAATAAACAGAAAAAAGAAAAAGAAAATAAAAAAGGAAAAGAAGAAACAAAAAAAAAAAAGAAAAACAAAAACAAACAAACGACAAAAGTCGTTCGTCATACATACACGTGCGGTATTCGAACCGCGACTGATTTCTCTACCATCATTCCGTACTACTCCTGTACCACCCACTAATCTCCCACCCCCACCACCTGCTTCTTCGACCTCGTTCTATCTCTTTCTATTTCCCACTCTACCTGTTTCTGTCTCTCTCTCTCTCTCTCTACCCCTCTCTCTCTCTCCCTTTTTCTTTCTCTTTCTCTTTACATCGTTCCAAGTAACGCCAACTCACCCTCCTTCATCCCTCTTACTACCACCCACATATCATTTCTTTTTCTCCATCCCTCTTTCTCTCTCTCTCTCTCTCTCTCTCTCTCTCTCTCTCTCTCTCTCTCTCTCTCTCTCTCTTGTTTCACCACCCAACACATATGCACTCACATATACACATTATATATACGTACATGTATACATACGTATAACTTTGTGACTTGGAAACCTCGGGCGCCACAATCCACGAGCGTTAATGTAGAGTGAACACCCAATGTGAACCAGCCAATCCTCTCTCTCTCTCTCTCTCTCTCGCTCTCGCTCTCGTTCTCGCTCTCTCTTTTTCTCTCTCTCTCTCTCATTTTATCTTGTTATTTTTTTATTTTCTTCCTTCTCTCCTCTCTTTTATAATCTTCTCTTTCTTTCTTTCTTTCTTTAACCTTCTTTATCTATTTTTCTCTATCCTCCTCGAATGGATAATTTCTCTCTCTCTCTTCCTTCCTCACACATATACACATACACACACACACACATACTTTTTCTCTGTCATTTGTTCAGTTTACCAGCCAAAGGTGCTTTCTTTTTCTCTCTCTCTCTCTCTGTCTACCTTTGCTCTTCTCTATTATATGTACTTTGCTTTATATATATATATATATATATATATTTATACACATTCACATACACATACACACACATAACACACAAACTGGATAACCGACGAGCAACGCTAAATGGAGAGTTACGCGTCTCCTATGATTCCTTTTTTTCCGCGGTAAACCAAAAGATTTTCTTTTTTTTTTCTCTTCTTCTATCATGAGACACACACGATACACCACACACACACACACACACACACACACATACACACACATTATATATAGACACAAATCCAACTAGCATACCGCAATTATACACCACAGGCAGGCAGACGTACAAACAGATACTATATATATTCACAAATATTTTATTATCGCGATGTGGTCTCTTTCAAAATAAAGTTAAAAAAATATTTATCTATATTTTATTTAGACAGAATTTTTTCTTAAAGCAAGAACGAATTGATATATACATACATATATATATATATATATATATATATATATATATATATATATATATTAATCGAATTATATCGTAGACATTAAAAAGGATCGCTAATAACTACGCACAAATAGATTATTAATAAATTCTTTCTAATCCGTTGATTATTGTAGAGTCCAGTAATCGTGTGAGATTGATCAAAGACATGATTAGAAAAAGTAAACACAATTTATAATCTCTATAAGACGGTATGTGTATCAATTCATTTTTCCTTATATTATATTGTTCTTGTTTTCTTTATTTTCTTTTTTTTTTTTTGTTTCTTCTCTTCAATAAAAATCTAATAAAAACGATAAATTCTAATAAAATCAATAATATTCAATTGTCGTAACTTCCTATCATTCGTCACATAAATATATATATATATATATATATATATATATACATTGTAATAAATTATGCATAGACTATGCGTTCCGTATCATTGACCGGCGCCATATTGGATTTCGATGTGTCTCACAAATACGTCTCGAAAATTTAAAAGCAAGCCGATGTTCTTGCCTTTGTAAGCTGGAACGAAGTCTCGTCGCGAAACGAACAAAGAAGTGAGACGGGCGCGGACTAGTAAAAACCAGTTTTTCGGCCATCTCCAACGTTCTCCCGAGTTAAGTTGGTTGATAAAGGAGGAGGATGAGAAGGACGAGTATGAGTGAAGGAGGATGAGGAAAGAGTATTTTACTCTCGACTATTGGAAATATACCAGAGGATGATTTGCTATATCTAATGATATCTCGCATTGATGCTTTTTACTTCTTTCCTTTAAAAAAAAAAAAAAAAAAAAGAAAAAAAAAAATTCGTGAATTAACTTTAGCCGTCATTAAACCTCATCCGAAAAAATTATCAATCCTAAAAATATAAGAAACTTCCCTTTCCTCGTTCTATTTCTCTTTTCCTTTTCATTATCTCTCTGTTTCTTTCTCTTTCTCTTTTCATTATCTTCTATTTCTGTCTGTCTGTCTGTCTCTCTCTCTCTCTCTCTCTCTCTCTTTCTCTCTTTCTTTCTGTCTGTCTCTTTACCAAGAGTTCTTTCACGTGAACGTCATCGACGTAGGCACGAGCGAAGAAGTGAACAAAAGATTCGTTCACACGAACGCTACTTAACAGATCTTTCTTTTTTTCTTATCTCTATCTCTATTTCTATCTCTATTTAACGAATGTAGTCTCGGATAAGATCATTATATGACTTAACATTATGCCTGTTTTACATATATGCGTCTCGTGTGTGTTTTCTTTTTCTTTTTTACTATTGAGCGTGATCTTTTTCATTATTTGTCGTGACATGTAAAAACATACCGTCGTAATCTTATTCTTCTCATTCGTTGGATTACATTCTTAATAATAAAATTTTATATATATATATATATATATATATACACACTCACGTGTAATTAATGGCATTCAATCAGCCATAGCCATCGTTCGTTCCTAAAGTTATAAAATAACTCGAGACATATGCGAAAATAAAAGATAAATTGAAAGAGTGTAAGTAAAAAAAAAACAAAAAGAAAAAAAAAAAAATAAGAGAAGATCCAGAAAAATCGAGAGCAAAAAAGAAAAGATTTTTAATGTTACATCGTTCTAATAATAAAAGTAACAGTAAAAGTAATTGGCATATATAAGAAATGATGGGAACAGAGCGAAGAGTAATATCGTCACACACGTATACACGCGAGTGAGCGAGCGAACGAGCGAGCGCGCGCGCGCGCGCATGCACACACATACACAACAAGCGACGCAACAGCTGTTTCGTCGGCGACGTATGTATGTAAGATCGCGCGACTCCACCTCGTGGTACGCGACGCGTGTCGCGTGCCCCATCTCGTGTACGGCCCTGACGGCTCGCGCGCGTCATTTGTCCTCGTCGTCGTCGTCCTCCCCACTCCCCCCACTCTCCCCACTACTCAGCCCGTCGCGACCGCCGTCACGACCGCCGCCGTCTTCGGCCGAGCGAGAGCGTCGCGTGGCGTTCCCCCCACCCCACCGGTACTCCCCTCCTTCCGCCTCCTACCGTAGCCGCCTGCGCCACTCACAACTACCCACTACTACCATTATCGTCGACGCGCATCTTCCCCTCCTCTCATCCCCCACTTCAATCCCACTCTCAATCACTCTCTCTCTCTCTCTTTCTCTCTCAGTCCCTTTCGTCATACACACGACGCGACGTACGCACGTACGTATGTATATATATATATATATATATATATATATATATACAGAACCAAAAGCAAAAGAAAACCGTGTTCTCGCTTCTCCCCCTTTACGCCGCTTTCGCGGTCGAGTTTATCGTCGGGTTTACCGTTTACGCTCTCGTATCGTCGCGGAGGCGCGTCATTTGTTCGAATAATCCTTCTATCTGCGAAGTGATTCTTCCACTTCCTTTCCGAAACTATGGCGAAAACATAACTCATAGAATGTTGACATATTTTAACGTCCATAAATAATGTATTATAATTAAATCATTCCTAACTTTAAACGTTTGTCCCATTTACATTTCATTTTATTCATATATATTTATTTTACATACGTATACGTACGCATGTACATACTTACGTATGTAATATTTTAATTTATTTGTTATTATGTACGTACGTACGTACGTTTGTACGTGTATATGTATATATATATATATATATATATATGTGAGTTTTATTTAATACAATTGCATTTGTAATACATGTTTTTCAATATTTCAATGTTACGATTAAATATTTTCATTCGATCGATATACTAGTAGTTACTTTCATAAAAATTATATTTTACGACAGGAAGTGTTATGATTGGGTTATTTATTTTTCAATATGGCGTCTTACAAATATAAATAGATGACATTCGAATTGATATAATGAATCATTCGTAGATAGTATAATAGCAATAATAATAATAATAGTTGTAGTTGTTGTTGTTGTTGCTCTCGATTTTTAAATATAACACTTTAAGTTTCTCTTTTCTTTTTCTTTTTTTTCTTTTTCACAGTATCAACTATTTTACTTACTTACTTACTTACTTACATACATTCATACATACATAGTAGTATTTTACTCTCTTTACGTTTCGTAATTAGTTTCAAGGATATATGGAGAATTACGTTCCTTTGGATTGAAAAATCGACCGCGGCGCCAGTCGACTCTCCTCCGCCGATGACGTCATACGGAAAGCTGATTTTTGCTACGGATAGTAGCATGTATGTACGTATCTATATATGTACTTACATACTGCTTGACTAACCTCTCGCATCTTTCTGTCTCCTTTTAACTAAATGTTATCTCTTTTCCTCTTCGTTCCTATGCTTCACGTGTCTCTCACTCGACCTCGAAAAATCGGTGCAACTTTGTATCCCTCCCTCTACGCTCCCTTATCCCTGAACTGCCCACCACCCTCTCTCTCTCTCTCTCTTTCTTTCTTTCTGAAACAACGACTCTCAACCTCGTAGACTTGCGTGATAATTATTAATAATAAATTTAATAAAAAAAAGAAGGAAAAGATTTACATATCTTTTTTTTCTCCTTTTTTTTAGATTAACAAATCTAGAGAGAGAGAGAGAGAGAGAGAGAGAGAGAGAGAACACGAAAACAACGTTTGTTCACGTTCATATTTATATGTACTTAGATACATACTCCATGTTTCCTATCGAAGCTCGATTGTGTGTCACTTGAGAAGAAGGAAGGATCAGGGGAATGATAATAAATAAATAAAAAAAAAAAAAAATAAACAATTACAATTACGTCGCAGACAACGTTACGATGTCACATGGAATGACTTTTAAGTTAAGTACTTACATGTGTATGTGTGTGTGTGAAAAATATTTATTTACAAGAAACAAATAATTTCCTATATAACATGCATACGCAATGTATTGTTTAACGAATGTTACGAACGAAATGTTGGCAATGAAATTTAGAACGGAAAATAAAAAAAAGAACAAAAAAAAATTTCATATTTGAATATCGCAACTTAGGTACGTATCGTAAATTGGATAAGTTCGTAATTATTTAAAATATATTTCGTAATAACGAATGATACAAAAGTCGAACGAAATTTGTATAAAAATTAAAAGAGGATAAAAAAAAAAGGAAAAAAGAAAAAAAAAAGAAAAAAGAAAAAGTAAATAAATAAACAAAGACATATTATTTCGTATTTAATATATGAACGTACTTACGTACGTACGTACATTATTATCGAATGATTCGAAAAGAACGTAGAAATATTTTCGAAGTACGGTGTGTATATGTATAGACACATTTCGCTTTATCTTTTCTCATCGCGTCTTCCCCTCTTCTTCTCACTCTCTCGCTCGCTCACTCTCTCTCTCTCTCTCTCTCTCTCTCTCTCTCTCTCTCTCTCTCTCCCTCTCCCTCTCTCTTTCTCTCTCCCACTCTTTCACCTCCCACTCCGTCGGCTATCATCGGCAGTGAGTCGCTCCTCGCTCATATATTCCATCCACTCTCGCACGAGGGCGCGCACTCTATTCCAGATGTTCGGCAATGCCGACAAGCTTCCCCCACCAAACGATTAGCCGGCGTCGCGCGAAAAGGAGGTAGAGAAGGAAAAGGAGAAGGAGAAGAAGAAGAAGGAGAAGAAGAAGGAGAAGAAGAAAAAGGAGGAGGAGGAGGAAGAAGGAGGCTTTCCGTTTCACGGTTATAAAGGCTTTTACACACTCGCATCGTACACGACGTTAGATGTTAATACATAAGCCGTAACGAAATCCACTAATCAGACACAACTACCTATCTACCTACCACATACATATATATATATATATATATATATATATATCCCGTTTTTACGTTTTTCGACTATAAAACGGTAAGCTCATAAACGACGAACAATTTCGTAAGAATGAAATTTATACGACTTTAAATAACACCAATCATCATACGCAGTCAATCATCGATGTAAGACGTTAAATAATAATCTCCGTAAGATTTATTAAATCGTAATTCGATTATTAACGATTATATTTCCTCATTTATATTTTTCGTATGTAAAAAAATTTAATACATAAGGATTTAAGGATTTATTTAAGGATCGATATTTATTATTTTTCGTCTACGTTCTATTCACGTTTTTTTTTTTAGACGTAAAACGTTGGAAAAATTTCGAAAAAAGGATGAAATTCTTATATATAATGTGATATCTTAAAGGTACATGTAATGGAAGATAGAAAATATAAAATTGATTAATTTTATAAGAATTAAATTCATTTGGATTTTTACGTTTTTACGTATTTTAGATGATCGATAACGTGTGTGTTTGCGAATAACACTTAAAGACGATTTTAGACGAACGAGAACAACTTTTACTTTCGCATTCTTTTATTTTAATTTCTCTATTTTTCTCTCTCTCTCTCTCTCTCTCTGTCGTATTTCGTTAATCTTCGTTCATGTTCGTATCTTTTCGTACCATCTTCGTAAATTTCTTTTCGTTCAAAACCATTTAACGAGGATACACGCGTAATAGTAGTGGTAGTAGTAGTACGTCGTATCCGACGTAGGTGGAGCGCAACGAACGAAATCACAGTTCGTGGTAGTCTGTTACGAGGAAAACGATGACGTATAGAGGGAAGTAGCGTGGTGGAGCGAGGAGGTGGGAATTGTGGGAAGTAAATAGTGGGGGAATGCGGAGCGGAAGGGATACGAGAGTGAACAGAGGAGTATAAAGATTTAAAGTGGGATGGTGGGATTGGGAGGACGGGAGGGGGGGAGGAGGGAAAGAACGTGACGATCCGGCACGAGTTCTCTCTTCTTTCTACGTATAAACGCTTGTCTACTTCGATTCGTTTCGAAGGTTCGTCAAACACGTTGACCCTGTAAAGAAAACACGTTGCGTTTATCGCCTTGTAACGTCGAACTAATCTATCAAAGCCCATTTATCTATCTATCTATCTATCTATCTATTTATTTATCTATCTATGTATCTCTTTGCCGGCATCTTGTATTTTTAAGGACCGTTCCGATCGATCGAAAGATTAATTTCTAATTGCGATAAGAATTATTTCTCCTCTACATGAGAGAGAGAGAGAGAGAGAGAGAGAGAGAGAGAGAGAGAGAGAGAGAGAGAGATCGTTGTATAATGAAAGAAATACGGTTATGTTGATAAAGCAACACTCCTTTTTATCGAACAGTCTCTCTCTCTCTCTCTCTCTCTCTCTCTCTCTCTCTTTTTCTCGCTCACTCTCTCTTTCTCTTTCCGTTTCTCTCGAACGGCATTTAATTGTTTTCGTGAATACGATGATTAGTCTCTTACGACGTAACGTAGGGATACGCGCATAAGTACTTGAACTTATTTAACCCTAGTTGTAGATATTATTTTGTTGTTGTTTTTTTTTCTTTTTATTTTTTCTCATTTCTTTTTTCTTTCTCCTATTTTCGGGTGAAATTTTAATAAAACGTCGGTGATTGCGTTATTGTAATGATTTTTTCTTAAATCGATAAAAGACATCGTCTCATTTGTTGCGTTGTTGTTGTTGTTGTTGTTGTGTCATAATCATCATCAGTGTCGTCGTTCGTAATAACGCCTTCTAGCATTTAAAAAATTCTATATCCCTTTATTTTCTTCGACAAATATAATCCCTTTGGTTCTTATCCCGACCTTTATGCTTTGCCACGTCTAACCTATATCTTTCCGGCTTTTACCTTCCATAATAATTATAGTTCGAATTGACATTTCAAGTTTTTTCCATTATGTTTTTTTTTTTTGCTTTTTTTCATTTTTCTTGTCCTTTCTAATTTATTTTCTCTCTTTTTTCTTTTTTTTTTTTTTTCCTTTAATAATTATTATATCTCAACGTGTGTAATTCGTTCGTTGTAGAATTGCAACAGATTTTACATGAGAATTAACATTTTTTTTTGCTTCGTTGTTTCTCGGTGTTCGTATAAGATACCATATAACTAATCTATTTTCTTTTTAAAGGAGGAAAACAATTCATTACTCCTATATTCCCTTGCATTCAACGTTATCACCTTTAATTTGTCGTTACTCAAGTCATATCACATTTATTCTCTTATATTTTTTCTATTTTTTTTTTTTTTTTTTTTTTATTTACTAACTTTATTTCTTTATTTATTTTCTTTTTTTCTCTTTTCCTCCCTTTTACATATAAATACATAAATAAACATATATAAATATATATATACATATATATATATATATATGTATATATATGTATATATATATTTTTTTAATGGTCCATTCGAGAGTTATCAACTTTTTAATATACCTGTTGCTATATATACGTACAACGTGTAGTATGTATGGGGAGGACGATTTTCATCCCTGACCTATCACAGTGCATTTACGCGTCAAGCAGGGCGTGACGTCCAACGCAGACGAAATTTAAATCTCGTGGGCGTTCTCACGCTAGTAGCGTATTGGTTTCCATGGTAACTGGTCATGGTGAGTGGCCATGGTGACCATGATTTCATTGTTGTGACGTCACTAACATCGAAAGGACACGTGCCAGTCACTCACTCACTCACTCTATCTCTCTCACTTCTTCTTCTTCTCTCTCTCTCTCTCTCACTCTGGTTATCTGTCTCTATATCTATATCTTTATATATATATATATATATCTCGTTCGCTCTTGCGATAAACTATTTTCCATTAACGATTTTTCTTCTTGACGTAGTTCTTAACTTTGATGTAATAAAAGTCTGTAAATGAGAGTAAAAGAAAGAGACGACCTTTTTACGTAATCTCACGACTGTGACGTTCGATGAAAATATATGTATATATATATATATATATGTATGCATACGTTTATATATATACATGCATACATACAGATAACATATATATATACTTATATATATTCTTCTAATTACTTATTTTACAAGGTATGTATATGTATATATATATATATATATATATATATGTATATATGTTTCGTATAAATAAATAAATATATACGTATGCATGTATGTACATATATATATAAATATACAATTATATCTCATTGAAGAGAAGGAGTTCACTCTTATATACGCCTTCGCATGACCTTGACATTTTCTCGACATCTTTTGTGACTACTTTGACGACGACAATTGTTGTATACGTTTCAATGTAAGTGAGTACGAACGTTCGTTATCTTTCATCGATTTTAACGGTTCATTCGATTCCCTTCCTATGGTGTAGGCGTTTCTTTAATATTACATGGTAATCTTTATCGGCTCACTTAAAAGCGTACAGATCTTATTTAATTTAATAAAGAATTAATTTTATTCATTTTTATCGCGGATAATGTTTAGAAAGATTTTTCCAACGTTTTTTTCCTTTTTTTCTTTCTATTTTATTTCTTTCGTGTTCCTTTATAGGATATTTCAATGTTCTCTATTTTTTCTTCTTTTCTTTTTTTTTTTTTTTTATTAGTTTTTTATTTTCTTTTTTCGAAATGAAAATAAATAAATATCTCTTGAAATGAAACGATTCGGAAAATGTTTTTATTCTTTTTGTTCGATGCAAATTATTGCACAAGTTAATGAATGATAATTGAAATGATATTGCAAGGATCTCGATGTAATATTTGAATTTAAACGTTTCTTCGAATTTTCATTTGATTTACATTTAATTCTATATCATAGTTATTGATATATGTTGTACGTATGTGTGTGTGTGTGTATGTTAAAATTTTTCTGTCGAGATAACCTTTCTCGGTAAAATGTATGTTGTCATAGTTCGTTCATAGATGGCGGTAAATATTAGCTCATTAGTTTTAGATGGCGCAATCGTTGCGAATAGTCGACGTGCGTCCTTCTTACGAAACGGTTCTATTGATAACCTCTAACTATAATAAAATTTATAAAAATTAATTCATTTATAATTTATAAAATATTGTTCATCTTTAATAATTGAAATATAAAATGTTGAACCTCGGAGGAAGATTGACACGAATTATTATACGGAATTTTGCTACGAAATCCGACGAAATTGGGAATCTCGTTAAAGTGAGTGATACATAAAGGAGGTTATAAATGTGGGATGTGCGATTGAATTTCAAATTGTTTGTTATATCGTCATTTTATTTTTGTATGTTTTAATTTGATTGTGAGATTGTCGATGGAAAGAATCTAATATTGGTTATGCGAGAGTTGGCGAATGTTCCTCTTTGATAATATGTTGTAAGCGTAGAATTTTAGTTATTGCAATTAATTAGATCAAAGGAATCTATTATATATTGTCTTGTAATGTTTTCTTTTTCTTTTTTACAGAAAAATAAAGTTGTTGTCTTTATGAAAGGCATACCAGAGGAACCAAGATGTGGTTTCAGTAATGCCGTAGTTCAGATATTTAGAATGCATGGTGTTCCTTATGATGCCCATGATGTTCTACAAGATGAAGAACTTAGACAAGGTTTGTACAAGTAATTTATATGATTTTTAATCCTCCAACAATTTTAATAATTATATTTATAATTAAATATACAATGAAAGAATATAAATATATTATGTATTTAAAAGTTTTCTTAAAATAGTTTATAACGATAATATTAATCAATAAAACATTTAGGTATTAAAGAATATTCAAAGTGGCCGACGATACCCCAAGTATTTATCAATGGAGATTTCATTGGTGGATGTGATATTTTGTTAGAAATGCATAAAAATGGCGAATTAGTAGAAGAATTGAAAAAAGTAGGAATTAAAAGCGCTTTGTTGGAGAAAGAAAATACTTCTCAAAGCGAATCAACAAAGTCGAAGGAGTAAGACGCAATTTTTTATGTTGTAAATATATAAAAATGAAAAATACGATGTGCGTATTCTGTTTTTCAGACGTTGTTTGTTATAATAAATATTCTTGTTTTCAATTCTTTCAGTACGCATCAATAAAGTCACCTGAATGCGTAATATAATTCGTAATGTTGTATCATTGGAAAATTGTGAAGGTTTTCCATGGGTGATATGCGATGAATTTGAATCTTTAGAAATTCATATTTTTATTTATTCCATATGTAGAAATTATATATTCTGTAGTTCTTTTCTTAAAATTTTACCAGATGCAGTTTTTGGAATTTTTTCAATGTACTGCACATATCCTAATTTTTTATAGTTAGCAACGCGCTTGGCAACGTAATCTTTCACTTCTTCTGGATTAATGGTGACTCCTTTTTTCGGTACTATGAAAGCTTTTGGAATTTCGCCAAATTTTTCATGAGGAACGCCGATTACCGCAACGTCTGCAATACTATCTAAACCTTTAATAATATCCTCCAATTCCGCAGGTGGTACTTGAAAACCTTTTACTTTGATTAATTCCTTGATGCGTCCTTTGATGTAAAAGTGCCCTACATAAATTCAAATTTTATCAATATACAAGTGATTATAATTATTATAGTCTCAAATATTATTTACCATTTTCATTGAATTTCGCTACATCACCAGTTTTGAACCAATCGCCATCCATAGAATCTTTCGTTGCTTGCGAATTCTTAAAGTAACCTTTCATTACTTGAGGTCCCTTCACATAGAGCTCTCCTACTTCGTTTGGTCCCACATTAATACTTTTATCGCTTTCCTTTTTGACGATACGTATTTGTGTATTAGGTATGACGAAACCTACTGATTCATAGTCAATATCGATATTATTAGTAGTCGGAAGTATTACTCCCGGAGAGGTTTCTGTCAAACCGTATCTATATAAAATATTGAAAAAATCTTTTTTTATCTTTTTATTTCTTTTCTTTTTTTATTTTTTTATTTTTTATATTCTTCTGTCGAATTGATATCTGTTCTTAATTGATATAATATTCTTACCCTTGAGTAAACTTCACTTTGTCGCTGATACGTTTATGAAATTTACAAATAGATTCTTCCCCTATTGCCGCAGCTCCCGACATAACATATCTGATATTTTCAAAATGTTTTGACGTAATTTGCTCGTTAATAGCTATCATTTGTACGATCGTTGGTACCACGTATAGCAACGTCGGTTTGTAATTTTCAAGGATCTTTATAAACTGTTCTATTGAAAATTGCGGTAAGCACACTAATTTTGCACCCATTCTATAAGTACGAATTAAATATTTATTATTAGGTCATCTTTATTTAATAAATAAGTAAATATATATATATATATATATATATATATATATATATAAATAATACATATAATAATATATATTAAATAATGTATATATAATATATGTAAATATATATATTTACATATATTATATATACATTTTTTCTTTCTTCATTTTCTATTTTTTCTCTTCTTTTTTCTTTTTTTTTTTTTCTCCCTGAAAAGAGATCGTAATTAGCTTTATTATTTTAATAGTATAAGAGAAAATTGTTACTATGTCAAATCATTTTTGAATCTCTTGAAAAACATTTTATGGTATAATATATTTATTTGTTTATGTATCTGTGTACTATTATAAATTATATCGATATTAAATTGATATTAATAGTATTATTAAATTAATTCGAATAAATAAAATTCAGTGAAATTAAGTTTACCTTAAATAATTACAAAGGAGAATGATCAAGCCATATATATGAAAGAAAGGTAATATAGTTGGTACAACATCTTGTTCCGTTTCATTGGTGTTAATACCAGGAAAAAAATTTGGCGAAGAAATTTGTAATATATTCGCTGTGATGTTTCTGAAAGAGTATAAACGTTTTAACAATAAATATTAAATGTGATAATACGTATGAAAATGCAAACGTCATATAATAATGTTGATTAAGTTAATTGTTTCCAATATGATTACGATAAACAAACTCATATAACAAAAACTACTGAGGCTAGTGATTTAATTTTTACCCTTAGATAGATGATGATTTTTTTTCCTTCTTTATAAATTTTTAAGATAGCAAATATATTTCGATTATTATAATAACAACTTGTAATGAAATAAATTAAATGGCTAGGCCTCCCTTGGGATTTTTTTTTATCAGATATATTTATAATAATTCGTGTATGATGTACCTATGGGATAATTGTACACCTTTAGGCATTCCAGTGGTACCACTGGAATATGGTAAAAACACGTCATCCTTAGGATCGACATTAGTCCTTTGATTTTTCGAAAATTCTTCGATATCCTCTCTCATAAAATCATTCAAATTTATTGTACCCGAAGGTATCGATCCGCTTCCATCGTCAACGATTATAATTGGTAATTTGATTCGTGGATTATTTTCAATACTTTTCTTTACAACGGAATATAACAAAGGATTTGTAAAAATTGCTGAAGTTTCCGAGTTTTCAATTTGTTTCTTTATTTCCGCAGTAGTCCATACGGGATTTATCAATGTTGCCTTGAAAATAAACAAAGAAAAAAAGAAAAATTAATAACAATAAAAAAAGGAATATAATTGATTCGCATTAATGAATTATTCAATTTAAATTATTTTTTACTTTCGTTCATTAATTTTGTTTTTTTTTTTTTTTTTGTTCGTATTTACACACACGCGCACGCGCGTGCATATATTTAACCTCGACTTCGATTCGAAAAAAAAAAAAGTAAAAGATAAAATAAAATTGAATCAATAGAAGACGTTATACACTTTCGTATGCTATTACTTTTGTATATACATATATATATATATATATATATATATATATATATATATATATATATATATATATATATGCTAATCATTATTTTTCGATGAAATTCTCAGTGAGACATTAATTTATTTCTTTTTTTTTTTCTTTTTCTTCTTTGTTCTTTTCTATTATATTTATTAATTCCTCATGAAAAAAACATGAAATTTCAAAAGCGTATAAAAATACATTGTTAACAGTTATTTTTTTTTTTTTTTTTTCGTTCTTCTCTGATTTTTTTTTATACATACGGAATGTGACATAAAATTTTACAAGTCATTTCGAAAATCTATTACACTTTTTCGAGACTTTTTATAGACTTTTAATTAAGTTCGATAATTTTACTTGATTGAATCGATAATTTTGTAATTTCTCGGGAAAGGGAAAAAAAATAGAGCGGAAGAAAAAAAGGTAGAGTAATAAAGAAGAAAATCAGTTGTTAAAAAGTCTCGAAAAAGATTGATTGCTTTTTCAAGTCATCTTGAAAATTATAACTTTCACTTTTGCCCTTCCGGTCGCGATTGCGTACGAATAATAATAATGATAATGATAATGATAATGATAATGAACGATTTACTTACACGAAGACCAGCTTCTGAGAGAGCAAGTGCGATGATAGCATACTCGGGCACATTAGGTAATATAATAGCTACTGTATCATGTGGGAAGAGTTTTACTTTTCTTAATGACGTTGCCAATCGTCCTGTATACTTTCTCAATTGTTGATAAGTGTACGATCTATTAGTGATTGCACATACCTAGAATAAAGAAACGATTTGTTATTATTATTTTTAATCCGATAGAATTCTCCCGTGAGATATTATTTGAATTTCATATTTTTATAGTTATATCTCGAATGAAAAAAAAAAAAAAAAAAAAAAAAAAAAAGGATTCACTTTCAATCGATTACTCATATTCTCTCTGTCTCTCTCTCTGTCTCTCTCTCTGTCTCTCTCTCTCTCTCTCTCTCTCTCTCTCTCTCTCTCTCTCTCTCTCTCTCTCTCTCTCTCTCTCTCTCTTACTTGTGAAAAAGGAAAAAAAAAAGAAATGAAAAGAGGAAAATAAGAAGTTAAAAAAAAAAAAAAAAGAAGAAAAATAAGAAGAAACAAAAAAGAAAGAAAGAAAGAAAGAGATAAAGAAGAAAAGCAAAATGAAACTTTCGAACTTATTTAATTTTTATTATATAAAGAATGTAAAAATATGAAAGCGTTAAGACGACGGAATAAGATTGTATAAATTTATCGAAGATAAAAATGATCTCATTGTCTAGCAGATAGATAGATTTTTTATTTTTTCTAACATTCGATTGCTGCCAACAGAGTGATAAAATCCAGTTGACGTTTATAATTTATGATATTATTTATGATGAATTATGATATTATTTAGGATTGTTTGTTCCATGCGATTTTTTTTTTTTCTTTTTCTTTTCTTTTATTTCTAACTTTCATGCGAAAACAAATCACGATAGGAAACAAAGAAAAAAAATCATCCTTAAAAAAAAAACAAAAAAAAAAAAAGAAAAAAACAAAAAAGAAACGTCGATATGAATTATGAATAGATTTATTCGTTTTCTCGTGTATTTATTAAGGAAGGGAGCGGAAAATAATGATAATAATAATAATAATAATAAAAAAAAAAAAAAAAAAAAAAAAAAAAAAAAAAGAGAGAAAAAATTTCCAATAAAAATTTAATAAAAAATAGAAAAGAAACAAGGAAAAAGAAAAATTTTAATAACAAATTTTATTCATTGTTATTATCGTTCGAATATATGTCATTGTAATTCATATTTTTTTTCTAATTATTACAATGCCACACTGTCATTAGATCTAATAAAAAAAAACAAGTTATGATGCAACAGATCACTGTTGTGAAAAAATTTCGAAAGAATTGATCCAACGCTTTGTCGTATTAAAAGATGTAACTATTATGAATTACGTAATAGAACTATAAATTTTCAAATCCATTCAATAATAATATTATGGTTTAATAAATATTAACATTAGTTATCTGAATTTAATCTATTGCCTCTTATAAATAATAATTACTTATGATGTTGTAAGAGAGAAAATGTGAGAAAAGAAAAAAGCATGAATTGCTTAAATTATAATTGTGTAAAAAAAAAGAAAAAAAGAAAAAAAAAAAAAAAGAAAAAAAAAGAAAAAAATTAACATACTTTCGTAAAGTACCAAAGTGCATCGGAAATATATCGTTCTTCAGAATGAACAAATATTTTATTTAATAACATTTTTTTGTTTTAAATTATTGATACTGTCATTATAATTTACTTGAAATCGAACAGAAATATTTTTTACCTTAACATTAAGACAATGAATTTAGTTCTTTTTTTTTTTCTTTTCTTTTTAATATGATATTTATTATTTTTTTAAATGACAAATGCTCGTAATACGATATGACGTTCGTTTCGTTATTTTTAGACATTAATAGGAGATAATTATTTAAAGTAACAATATAGTCATCATTTTTCATCAGTTACTATTGACGCTACTACTCCCAGCTCTTTTTCTTTTTTTTTTTTCTTTTTTCTTTTTCTTCTAGGATTCCGACTGCTACGCTTGTCACTTTTTTCTTTCTTCTTCTTCTTCTTCTTTTTTTTTTCTTTTTATGATTTTTACTTCTATTAGTTTTATAAACAAATGTTTCGTATAGAAGTTATTTACGTTTTCACAAAGAAAAATTGTTAATATTTATCGCAGCTATTTCATAATTGGCGGTTTATGACGAAGATACGAAAGTAATAACAAATGTTTTTTCTTTCTT